AAGATACCTCTCTTTGGTATCATCATAGGGTTGGGGAGGCTCCCTTGTATAAGTTGATTTCTAGGGCCATCCCCCAGTCTAGATGCCACTGGAGAGTTTCCAACATCATCAGGAATGTTTTATGGTATTTGGATAATGTTATTCATCTTCTTCCCTCTCATATCATCCCCCTTATTCTCAACACTCCTATTTCCACTTCAAATCCTTCCTCAACTCCTTATCAACTTAGGCCCTGTTCTTTTGAGCTTCTGGGCAGAGCAGAGCAGATTAAGTTTCAGCAGAGCAGATTTTAGGATAGCAGAGCAGAGTAGAGCAGAGCCGAGCCGAGTAGAGAAGATTTCAACATTATTATTAATACTATTATTAATTGTTGTTATTGTTGTTGTTGTTGTAGTTGTTGTTGTTGTTGTTGTTGTAGTTGTTGTTGTTGTTGTTGTTGTTGTTGTTGTTGTTGTTGTTGTTGTTGTTGTTGTTGTTGTTGTTGTTGTTGTTGTTGTTGCGTCATCGAGAACCTCTGAATTCGCTTAAGCAACGCAACAGCCTCATTCTCTAATTCACCAAACGAAGAAAAGGAGAAGGGAATAATGAACCCATATCCAATCGCCTGACAACGAGCCTCATACTTAACCCGCTTCCGATGAGCTGCATCAACCACAACCCGTCCAGGAATAAAGTCAGATAGCCCTGACTATGTCAAAGGAGAATATCCTATCAAATCTACACAGACATCGCGACCACGATCCCTCTAGACAACCCAATGTCAACCTCTTTCCTTGCTATTATTATTATTATTACTATTACTATTACTATTATTACTATTACTATTATTATTACTATTTTTATTATTACTATTACTATTACTATTATTATTATAATTATTATTTTTAATATTAATAATTATTATAATCATTCAAAATAATAAATTATTATCATCAATACAATATTAGTTATTATTGTTGTTATTATTATTTGAAAATTAAGTAGAGTAGAGCAAAGCCGAGCCGAGCAGATTTCTTTTGAGCAGAGCAGATTTGATTTGAGCAAAGCAGAGCAGCTCTAAAAAACGGGGCCTTAGATGGATTCATCATGTTTCAGGGGTATTCACTATCAAATCATCTTATTTTTCAGTCACCAACCCCTCTTCTGTTTATTAGCCTTTCTCTTTCAATTGGAATTTTTTTTTTGGAAGTTTAGGGTTCCCTTTAAATACGAAATGTTCATGTGGAACTGTGTATTGTCCATTCTCCCCACTGCCAGTACTCTTGCTTTTTGAATTCTTGGTTTTGATGGCACTTGATGCAGATGTCATGAGCAGTATAGGATTTTATTCATCTGTTTAGGGATTGTCATTCTTCCATCATCCTTTGGAAAATGATTCTTCATAAACTCAAGCCTCCTCCAGCTTTTAATTACTCCATTTTTATGAATTGTAATTGGAATGACTGGCTAAAGTTCAACTTTTCTCAGACTCCTAAATGGAAATGCATTTTCCTGATGTGAATGTGGCAGATTTGGAAGCTTCAAAATGGAGTAATATTTAACAAAGAGGAGTACAATTGTAATTTTGTATTTAACAGATTTATAATTGATTATCAAATTAACACCTTTGTTTTACAAGGACAATATGCAAGTTCCTCAAGAGAAAAGCTATACTGTGCCAAAGGTCCTCTTGCTGACAGATTTATCCCTAGCTTGAAGACCCCGAAGACTTGGATATATCTAATTGAATATAGATGGATCTTGGAAGCATGCTGGGGATGAAGGTGCTGGTGGAGGAGGTGTCTTCAGGACTGATAAGGGACAGTGGTACTTTGGCTACTCCAGTAAATTCAATGCCACAATCCCCGTCCAAGCTGAGCTCTATGCTTTAAGAGAAGGGCTTAACTTTGCTAGAGCCTTTCCAGTCAAATATCTTGAGGTGGAAACAGAGGCTGAGATTGTCCGCTCAATGAACAACAAGGAGCATGATGATATGCATCATGAGTTAGCTGCTATTGTGATTACATCAGCAGATGTTTAAGGAATTAAGATATGACTATCACTCTTTGCCACATCCCTAGAGAGATGAAATCAGTTGCACACTATTTGAGTAAGTTGGCTATGCGCATGCACATAGGTCATGTACCACACTACACTGTTCCTACTAGTGTCCTTGCTGCTTATGAGTCTGATCTTGCTGCCCTACAGGGTATTATATATAGCTCCAGGTGGAGCCTTAGCTTTGTTCTTGCTCATCTTCTACGATGTACAAACTATCTTTATGTTTCCTTCTTTAGTAGTTTGAACATACTCCTTGGTTTGCATTTTGGGTTATTCAAACCAATGGACATTAGGTTGTAATATTTTTAGGGCCTGGCCCAAGTAATCCATGCTTTATGTTGTGTTAAAAAAACAAAAGTTCCAAAGAAATCCGAATAAATGCCTGGCTAGCTACAATTATAATGTTTTTAACATGTCATTTTGTTCTTAAAAAAAACATTTTGTTGTTGCATAGCTATAGTTCATACCATGCATGCACGCACTATAGAAGACTATGTACATTTGTAGTTTTGCAGTGGAAAGATGATAAAGGCACCGAATTTCATGACTACCTAGTTCTATTTTCTTACAAGGGTTGTGTTTGGGTCCAATTAAGCCTAATTGGGCCTGGTCCATAAATGATTCAATTCCAAGTCCAAGGTCAAGGCCCAAGCCTCCAATCATGCCTAGTCAAGCTCAAGTCAACGACCCAGTCATCATGGGCAGCCTATATGACTCTAAGCCCATTTTCCTCATTATGCTAAGGTATAAAAGCCTTCAATCACACCATTTATTACTCATTCACATATAGCCTCAAGCAATTAATACTCTTACATAGCTTTCTCTCTTTAAACACTATTTGACTTCGGCATCGGAGGGGCCTTCCTCGGCACAACCCCCGAGGCCATTTTACGTGTGTTTGTTGTGTAGAAACCCTCGGCCCAGCATCACTTGGACCAAGTTCAGTCTTCAGCCACATCTCAGGACCTTTAGCAAGGTCCCATTGTTTTCACCCGAAACTATTTGGCGCCATCTGTGGGGAAGACTTTCAAAAAATCTTTAACCCAATTCCAATCTTGCTCTCACCTTAGTATCAATGGCTAAGAACAGCAAGAACAAAAAATCCAAAGTTGGACCTTCTTCATCAAATAAGAGCCGCATAATGATGTCGTAGGGAAAGTGGCCCTTGGACCCTCCCTCTCCGTCACCTCAACATATCGCGAGAGCCATCGAGGGAGAGGTCACAATCTCCCTCCATCTGCTCGCAGCGCAGGACGAGTCCTCCTCGGTCCAGCGCTGCAGCTCAGTCCAATCCAAGGGCTCGCACTAACACACGAATCCCACCTTTGAGCATCCATTCTCGCCCCCAAACTCATAGAGGGACCCCTCAAACGGGGCCCTCCACCGAGGAAATTGTGCTAGCGGTGGCAGTTGTCATGGAGGCCATGAAGGCCGGCATGATGCCACCACCTCGTGACCGATCGCCTCCGTAAACCAGGCATCAGCGGAGGAGAACCAGGCAAGAGGGGGAGAGACCCCATTCCTTCTAGGAGTTGGGGGAAAATTGGGAAGAGGATACTTGGAGAACCGAGCGAGAAAGACAAAAGAACTCGCATTTCTTCAAGGAACCTTCTACTCAGCTCACCTTGAGCAAAAATCACAAGAGTAGTAGTTCAGCCTCTCGGTCGGCCACTATTCGCTGAAGTGTTCACGAGTGCCTCGGCCGCAGGGAACAGAGTGTGCACAGCCGCCTCTCCTTCCCAGGGACTAAACCCCAACCTTTTGACCAAGGAATGAAAACCACTTCTACCTCTCTGAGAGGGCAGAGAGCAGTTCCTTCGGCCAGAAGCAAATGCAAGGCCGTGATGCTTCCAACCAGTTCTCCATTTGAGCAATGGATTCTAGAAGAGCATGTGCCGACGGTTAAAATCCCGTCGCACATTACTTATGATGGGACTTCGGATCTGAAGGACCATATTGCCTCATATAAGGGGCATATGCATCAGTGCCCCAGGTCCAAAGCGACCTGGTGCAAATAATTTCCTACCACTCTCGAAGGGGTCGCGCAAGCGTGGATCTCCAAGAGAGTGAAAGAGGGTTCCATAACATGGTGGGACGATCTGTCCACCAAGTTTAAAAGTAAGTTTTCCACGGCAAATCGCCAAGAAAAGACAACTGCAGAGCTTATGGGCCTGCAGCAAGGGGAGGCCGAAAGCCTCAGGGACTATCTGACTCATTTCAGCAACGAGTCGTCCAGCATTTCCCAACTGGACCAAGGGTTGGCCGTCTTTGCTATGCAAAATGGCCTTCAGCCGGGAAAGTTCCTTGACTTCTTGGTCATGCATCCCCCGCAGACCTTGGAGGAGTGGAACAAAGCAAAAGCCCATCCTCAATCAGGGGGTGGGAAACAAAAACAACAATCAACTGAAGGCCAAGGCCAGAAGTCGAAAGGAAAGGCAAAAGCCTCAAAACAAGCTTCGGCCACCGAGACAAAGATGGAGAAATCTATACCTTATCTGGGCAGATATGAATCCTACACTCCGCTCGTCCTTCCACGCGCTAAGATCTACAGCGTGACGAAGGGAGAGCAGAGTTACCGAAAGCTGAGACCACTTCCCCAGTGGTATCTGCAGAAAAATAAAAATCTTTGGTGTGAGTTTCATGAGTAGCTGGGACACAACACTGAAGAATGTATCCAGCTGAAGGACCAAATCGAGGATATGGTCCGGAAAGGATACTTGAAAAAATATATCGTGGATCACCACGAGAAAAAAGAGGCCAAGAGGTCTGAGAAAGACTCTCGGCAAGAGCTGGACTTCCCCCGGAAGAACAACAACAAGACTTCGGAGGAAAAATTCGCCCCGATACATGTTATATCTGGGGGGACGTGTTCTCGAAGGGAGCATAAGAGTCACCTTAGGGCTCTGACCCATCAGGTGAACAATGCTGATGTTTAACCTCCTGATTCACCAGCGCCGAACATGACGTTCTCAGCTGCCGATTGCCGGGGGGTAACATTCCCCCACGAGGATCCCTTAGTGATTGTCGCTACAATTGCCAACCACGATGTGCCCAGGACTCTCGTGGATGGAGGCAACGGAGCAAACATTTTGTTCCGAAAGGCCTATAACCAAATCAAGCTGAAGCCCAAGCACCTAATGCTAGTACCCTACCCAGTTTCTGGATTCAACGGAGCTTCAACTTATCCTGATGGGAAGGTCCTCCTCCCTGTCACCATCGGCCGCGCTGAAGCAGCCAGGAACGTCATGACCGAATTCTTGGTCATTGACGCTCCTTCATTGTACAACGTGATCATGGGGAGACCTATGATTCACGATATTCAAGAGATAGTTTCAACATACCATCAAATGATGATGTATGTTTTGGATGTTGGCTACCCCGAAAGAATTGAGGGCAGCCAAAAGGAAGCCTGAAGGTGCAACTACCTCAAGCCATCCACTAGTCATTCGAAAGATGACGACGATGAGGATGAGGAGGAAAAAGAAAAAGAAAGGGAGACAAGTGCGAAGAAGCCGAAAGGCATAAGTGCTTTGGCCTAAGGTTCTCTGGCCAAAGAGAAACGATCAGAGAAAGAAAAGGCTGGTTCTTCATCTGAGCCGAACGAATCAGAGAGCCAGCCGAAGAAAAAGTCTGGGACGCCTGCTGATATTGACAGCAAGCAAGATGATGAAGAGTCCGGCTCCAAAGCAATGAAGCTGGATTAGTAGACTGAAACGGTCGAGTTGACCGAAGGAAACGCTGAAAAATGTGTTACAATCGCAATGGACCTTGATCCAAATGTCCGGTTTAACTCATCCAACTCCTTCGGGACAACCGAGATGTGTTTGCTTTCTCGGCAGCTGACATGCCTGGGATAAGTCCAGACCTCATCTCCCACAAGCTTAACGTCGACCCCACGTGTCGACCAGTTAAGCAAAAGAAGCGGAATTATTCCGCAAGCAAGAACTGAGACATCGCAGCCAAAGTCAAAAAGTTGCTGGATGCAGGCTTCATCGAACCCTGTCAGTATCCAGAATGGCTGGCTAATGCGGTGATTGTTCAGAAGGCAAATGACACCTGGAGAATGTGCTTTGACTTCACCCCTTGTTAAGGACCGATCAACTAGTCAACTCGACGAGCGGCCATGCCTTTCTTAGTTTCATGGACACATTTTCTGGGTATTATCAGATCTTCATGCACCCCGACGACCGAGCAAATATGGCATTCATCACGAACGCCAGGGTGTACAATTACAAAATGATGCCCTTCAGATTGAAAAATGTGGGGGCAACATATCAAAGGTTGGTGGATCAAGTTTTTGCCGAGCAAAAAGGCCAAAACATGGAAGTCTATGTTGACGATTCTATCGTCAAAAACAAAGAAGATAAAGACCATGTTAAGGACCTGGCTGAAACCTTCGCCACCTTAAGAAAGCACTAAATGAAGCTGAATCCGAAGAAGTGTGTCTTCGGCGTAAAGTTTGGAAAATTTCTCGGCTTCATGGTTAGCAAAAGAGGGATTGATGCCAATCCCGCAAAGGTGCAAGCAGCGCTCGATCTCCCTGAGCCGAAAATAAAAAAGAGACGTTTAGCGGCTTACCGGAAGAATGGCAGCCCTCTCAAGGTTCATCTCCAGAGCCTCGGATAAAGGGCTACCCTTCTTCAAAGCACCGAAACTCCCAAAAACAAAAGAGCTCATCTGGGGAGATGAGCAGAAAGAGGCCTTCAAGCAGCTTCGAGAGCATCTTGCTCAACTTCCTACGCCGGCTCGTCCAGCTGAAGGGGAAACCCTGTACTTGTACGTGGCCGTCAACCCAGCCACCATCAGTGCAGTGCTGCTGAGGGAAGAAGAGAAAATTAAGCAGCCGATCTATTTTGTCAGTCACACTCTGACAGATGCCGAGACTCGCTACCCCCTACTCGAAAAAGTTGCTTATGCGGTAGTGGTAGCAGCTCGAAAGTTGAGGCCTTATTTTGATTTCCATCAAATAGTTGTCTTAATTGATCAGCCGCTAGAAAAAGTGCTCGGCAAAGTAGAAATATCTGGTATTTGGAAAAGTGGACTTTCGAGCTCACCGAGTTCAGCATCAGCTACCAGTCGAGAGCAGCCATCAAGGCTCAAGCTCTATCGGACTTCCTGGCTGAATGCTCGTACCAGGATACGCTAGACGAAGGAAAGAAAGTCTGGACCGTTTTCACGGATGGATCCTCCACCGTAAATGGTTCGGGGGCAGGGGTAGTGATAACGTCTCCCGAAGGCAAATCCTTTGAGTATGCACTCAAATTTTCTTTTAAAGCTTCGAACAATGAGGCCGAATATGAGGGAGCGGTTGCTGGCTTAGAATTGTGCATCTCTCTGGAAGCCAAGACTCTCAGCTAGTTGCGTATCAGATCAGAGGTGACTACGAGGCTAAAGAGCCCTCAATGATAGCTTACCTCGCCAAGATCAAATCAGTCATCGCAAAGCTGAGAACTTTTGAAGTTCAGCTGATCCCAAGGGGTCAGAATGCTCAAGCCGACGCACTATCCAAACTTGCTAGTTCAACTCTTACTGAGCTGAACCGATCTGTTTATGTGGAGGTGCGCCGAGAAAGAAGTGTCGACGAAGCACCTGAAGTGTGTTGTGTTAACCAAGAGCCCAGTTGGATGGATCCCATCCTAGATTTCAAGCTTCGGGGAGAAATTCCCGAAGACAAAAGCTTAGCCTCTAAGCTGAAGCGAACCAATTCCAGGTTCATTGTCTTTAATGGAGAGCTCCTGAAAAAATCCTTCTCAGCCCCATTGCTGAAGTGCGTGGGGCCTACAGATGATGATTACATCCTTCGAGAAATCCATCTCGGCATTTGTGGAAACCACATTGGGGGAAGGAAATTAGCCCATAAAGCCTTAAGGGCAGGGTATTATTGGCCCACCATGATTTCAGACGCTAAGGAGCTCGTCAGAAAATGAGAAAAATGTCAAAAATTTGTACCATTCATCCATCAGCCGGCTCAGGAGCTTCAGCTAGTTTTGAATCCGCTTCCATTTGCCCAGTGGGGGCTTGACATCCTGGGTCCCTTTTCGGATGCCCCATATCAGAAAAAGTGGTTGATAATCGGCATAGACTATTTCAGCAAATTGATCAAGGCCGAAGCAGCCTCAAACATTACAGAGCGAACTGTCATAAAATTCATCTGGCAGAGCACCATTACTCATTTCGGCATCCAAAAAGTATTTGTCTTTGATCATGGAAGGCAATTCGACAATTTGCCGCTGAAGCGGTATACTGATCAGTTCGGCATATTCACCAGTGTGTCATTCGCAAAGTAACGGACAAGCCGAAGCTGCAAATAAGCAGATTCTTAACGCTCTCAAAAAGAGGGTTGAGGATCAAAAATCCAAATGGCTAGAAGAACTTCCCGAAACTCTCTGGTCACTTCGGACGACTGAAAAAGAGGCGACGAGCCACTCACCTTTTGAGTTGGTGTATGGTGCCGAAGCCGTTCTTCCAGTGGAAATCGGTTCTGAAAGTCTGCGAGTGCACCACTTTTCGGCTGAGAATGAGCAACTTATGAAGGAATATCTCGATTTCCTTGACGAAGTAAGAGACTCAGCCAGAGACAGAATGGCTGTATATAAGCAAAGAATCAGCAAATTCTATAACCGAAGGGTCCATGCAAGGCCTCTTAGAGTTGGAGACCTTGTCCTTTGGAATGCTGCTGCAGTTCAGAAAAACCGAATCCATGGGAAACTCTCAGCCACCTGGGAGGGACCTTACAAGATTTATGATGAACTCCAGCCTGGGACATACCGACTTCGACAGTTGGATGGAACTGAGCTGAAAAATCATTTGGCAGAACAATCTTTGTAAGTGCATTTTCAATTATTAATGAAAGGCCTCAGAGCCAACATTTCTACAAATATTTGCAATTTTTATTCTTTCATTTTTCTTTATTCTATCTACTTTTTAAGAGTTTTCCTTCAGCACTCTCTGAAACCTTCGCCTTTGAGGCATCAGGTTTCGGATTGCTGACAAACTTGCCTATAAAAGAACACTGGTCTTTTAGCTGAAGTAAACTCTTCGGCAAGACTTGTTTTCCAAGGCAGTGAGTCCATGGACGAATTTGGGATATTTCTTTCACTAAGCCTTGTATCCCTGTAGACACCCATTTGTGTCTCCCCAAAACCAAACCCAGTGACGAGTACCTTTCACATCGAATCATAATCGAATGAAGTGAAAGTGTGGAAAGTCTAGTGTTGCAGTTAGTTTTTTATTCTTTTTTTTTCTCTTTGTTTTTGAAAACCTATTTTAAGAAAACAGCCAAACCAGTTTTTTTTGGTCCATATCAAGGGTCCAATAATGGTGTAGTTGGATGGGGCCTGAAAATAGCTTTCCAACGATATATCATAAGCCCAATTCCGATGAATAATGAGGAAGTTATGGCCAAATTACTAAACTGGGCCCGGTTTGATGTTTATGTGCGGCCCAATGATCTAGAGGATGGCCTAATATGGATTTATCATTCCTAATGCAATTAGAATTGATAAATTGACTTTAGTTGACTTTTTGGAATTTTAATCAGAATAGAAGAAGTGTTTTTAAGGAAAATACGGTTTTTCCCTCTTGTACGGATAAATTTTATCAAAACTAAGAAAACGCGTGAAATTAATGACTAGCGCCTGACGACAGGGATTAGTGCCTGCGCTAGCCATAGCGCCTGAAGCTAATGTTCAGCGTCTGGTGCTAATCGAGTTTTATTCTCGTCGAAACTCTGATTCGTTTTTCTATCTGTTTGGCTGATTTTCTCTTTAAATAGTCTCCTAAAACCTTCGTTTTTAATCATCAATTCTCAACAACAATCATCAACTCTCTAGTTTTCTAATTCTTTTCTCTCTCTCTAAGCTAAAGCTTATTCTCGCTCTCTCTCTCTCTATCTCTTTTCTAAACTAGCCCTTTTGCATACAAAATTCCGTATTCACAAGATCTAGACACACCTAGCCAAATTCGAAGTTGCCTTCGACCTAGACGTGAAAGGTTTGGTATTTCTCAGGGTTTGGTCCTAAATTTCTATTTCAATTATTTAATTTAATTATTTGATTTTATTATTTTCCTTGAAGTTACTAACGCGTGTATTTTGTTATTAGAAAGAGGTACGAGACATCCAAGTAAGTGCTTTAATTATTTTATTGATATTATGATATAAAAATCATGTCTAGCTTATTATGATTCCTAGTATCATGTTAAGGCATTTTGATCTTCCTAGTATCATGTTTAGGGTAACAACTATAATTTCTAATATCAAATATGATAATTATGATTCCTGCGATGCTTCCTATTTTCTTCCTAATATTCATGTCATTTTCATGTTAGGGTTAAATATTTTATTTTTATTGTTTAGTGACATGCTAGGGTTTGTTATTAATCTTGTTAGTGTCATGTCTAGGATCTTACTATTATTATGCTCAACATGATTATGATTTTTATGATTATTTTGATTGTTATGATTATGTTGCTTGATTATATTTATTGTTATTGCTTGATCACGCCTTTTATGCATGTTTAAAGGGAATTTGTACTTGTAATCACGCTTATATAAGATAATTAATAATCTTGTTTAGGGTTAATTTGATTATAATTCAAGTGATCGCCAATAATAGATTTATTTGTGCATTAATATTCAACCAACATAGATAAAAAGGTTTAGGGTTAAACCTATCGATTGCATGTTAGTCAGAAAGCGCACATGAATACGATCAGAATAAAGTAGAGGCCTATTATTAGGGCAGGTTCAATCTCTTTTAGGTTGGATTTGTACCTTCATCCCCTAACTACCAGTCATTGTTCCAGACCTATTATGGTTGACGATCTCTTGGATCGTTAAGGGGTGTAACCTTCACCCTATGAACGGTTTACAAGTTCCTAAAACTTGTTGGCGACTCTTTTGCTCTATCTTCTTTCCCTTTGGACGCCACCATGCTTAAGTGTATGATCACAGTGGGGTTCAAGTTTGGGATAACGCTTGAAATATTCCCTACAATCCCAGAGGGTCATTGTTTGGGACATTGCCTTAAGTTGGCCTTATGTCTCAGATATCCATTTTTTAAGTTAGACAGAAAACCAAGAGTAATCGCATAACAATTAGAAATTTATTAAGTACATAAAAGCTTCGTCTAAAATAAAAAAAAGACAGGTAATTATCTCAGAAATCCGAAGATAAACCTTCAGGATTCTGGGGGGGGGGGCAATGGACACTACAAGTGTTCAGCAGCTGAAAACTTCTAAAGCTAAAGGCCTTTTTACTTAGCAAATTTTTCAAAAACTCATCAGATCAATGTGCAAGTTCGAGGCAAAGCAATAAGAAGAAAAGTAGCAAATTCATAATACGAGTAAGAAGCTCGAAAGCCTAGCTGAAAAGTTAAGTGTTTCATAACATAAGAATAAATATCGGCAGCCGCCCACAAGCGGAAAATTACAGCTGCCGAAATGCGTACATGAAAAAAAACTAAAATGTTTGTACACCAAGGCAAGCTGAAGCAAAACAGAGGCAAAAAATTCAGAAGCGACAATTCAGAAGTTAAGCACAAGTTTATCCGCAAGATTCTGAAGAAGATTGCCCGAGTCCCTAGGCTTCAGCTGAAGGATCAGGCCTTCCAGCAACGCTGGGCTCCAAGGTGGCATCGGTTTCGGCTGCTGAAGAGGCGGGATGAACTTGAGCTTGAGCTTCGTTCTCTCTGTTCTCAGTTCCTCAGGTTCAGCATCCTCCATTTCCTTAGCTTGGAGACGGATCTCCAGATCTATCTCAGCCTGGTTGGAGAACTCCATATGAGGATCTTTGGGGTCTTCAGCCCAAATTTTACATTGGTACCAGTCTAGCTCAGGAGCTGCATGAAGAGCCAGTCTTCAGGCCACCTTGTACCCTTTGTTGTAGGCAGTCGAGTACTTAGCCTTGGAGTAAACTTTGATGACCAGTTGATCCTCAGCGTCGGCCAGCTTCTTCTAAACCTCCTCCAAGGCCTTCTGGGAGGACACTTGCTGCTCCTTCAGCTTGGTCTCAGCATCAGCGAGCTGCTACTCCTTTTGCTTAGCCTCAGCCCGAGCTTGGGATAACTCAGCCTTTTTGTCGTTCAGTTGAGTCTCCAATCTGATCAGCCTCTATCCTTGAGCCTCGACTTGGGTATTAGCCTTAATTAGCTCGGTCTCCTTGTCATCATAAGCTTTTCGGTGATGGTCGACATCAGCCTTCAAGATTTTGACCCTTTGCTAAAACAAAGCTTCCCAAGCAAGCATTCGGGAGTCAACCTCGTGCACGATCTTCAGCTCGATCTGAGTTTTGAGGCTCTTGACATCGACAACGCCGAACTCATTGATCAGAGCCACACCCTCATCCATCATCGACAGGACCTCCTTCTCCATGTCGTTGCAGAAGACATTTTAGGAGTCCATACTTCTCTTGGCTTCGTCTTCAGCCTTTGCCTGCTTCAGCTTGGCAAGCTTTGCCTCTGTTTCAGCTATATCCACTATGTTCTGGAGAGAATTAATCATCTCACAGGTCTAGCCTGCTCCATTTAGGATAGGTGGGAGCAGCCGCCGAAATAAGCCTCAACACTCTCTCCATACCTTCCCCTGATCTCAGCCCAAGCGCTGTTCGGGATGGGGATCTGAGGCGTTGAGAAACCCATATACCCTGATTGAAATGTTTTGAAGGAGGGGAACGAAGATGATGGAGCTTCTTCAGCTTTGTAAGGGTCAGTTGGTTCCTCCCCTTCTCCAGTTTGGTCCCCATCAGCATGGACCGCTTCAGCGTCCTCAATAGGTTGGTTAATTAGGGTATCAACCTCTTGTTGAATTATAGCAGCAAAACCCCCATCGGCTGCATTTTCAGCTGCAACCACCTCTTCAGCTACCCCTTCAACGATAGCTTTGTCACCAGAGAGCTTAGCAACGCTCTCCTTGTTTGACGCCTTTTCTGGAACCCCCTCCTTTGGGTCAGGAGTTCGTTGATCCACCTCCATCTCTTGAGTGTTGGGAGGTGGTGGAGGGGTCTTCGGCGGTGGAGGAGTTGGTGGTGGTGGCTGAACTGGGGGTCGAGGACCCCTTGCACCTCTAGGAACCCTGCCCCTACCTACTGCAGGTTCCCTTATTACAACGCCGGGCATCGGCCTCAGCTCGAAACCATCTGGGCCCAATACTGTCGGACCCATTCTTCTCCTCTTTCTCTGAACAAGAGGTTGCTAATTCATATCCTCAGAGTTCGAAGTTTCAGACTCCGAAAGATCTTCGGGCCGTACAAGAGCTTTTCCCTCTCTCCTTTTGCTCTCTTCCTCAAAATGCAGAAGTGGGGGGGGGGGGCAAGAAGGGTTTAAGTAAAAAAAAAGCACAACAAAACAACAAGGTAGATTTTTGCTTCAGATAGTCTGTAGCAGCCTCAATCTGAAGTCCCGTCGAATGCAGATGCAACATACGGTCCTTCGGATCACTGATCGCAGGGGAACAATCTAGTATGACCCTTTCGGCGTTTACTCCCAATCGGTTGTAGTCAATCCCCGAATTGGCCTCATTCAGCTCTGAAAAAAGCAGAACAGATGAGTTAGCTCAATGAAGCAGATACTAAAAAGTTCTGAAGTAACTGCAAAATAAAAAAGAAACAAAATGCAAGTCCTCGGCCCTAGCCGAGGTGCTTAATTACCATCTCTAAACTTTCGGCTGAGCCCGACAACCGCTAGCATATTCTCTTGGAAGGCGTAATGGGAGTCTGGAAGCCATCTCGCTGGGATGTGCTTCAGCCGGCTAGTCTCTCCGAGATTTTCCTATTTCCCGAAGGAGATTTGCTGGTAGCTAGGATGACTGGTAGCATCAGGGTCTTCAGGACCCAAGTCCAACATGTTTGGGTCGGGTTCGGAGAGATAGCGGGGAGCTTCGAAGAATTAGGGGTGATCCGGATCCGAAGGCGCCCTAACCCAGATCCACTAACCTCTCCAGTCCTTGTCCGAAGAATCATTCGGCCATATTGTCAGGTATTGCGCATGACTTTCAATCCGCCACCAGCCAGAGCCATGCTGACCATATCGGCTTTGGGTGTTCGACGTAAGCTTGTGCAGATTCTTGAAACAGTGCAGGTTCGGCTCAAGGCCAAAAAACCGGCACACCCAGAGGTACGTCATCACCCTTCGGATACTGACCGGCGTCAATTGACACAGGGAGATCCTGTACTTTATTAATATGTCCCTGAAGAAGGGATTTAAGGGGAACCACAACCCGTACTGCAGTTGCCTAGTGTACACCTCCACATATCCAGGAGGTGGACGATGAATCCTATCAGTGGCCGTGGGCATTCGGCACCAATACCCATCCGCCTCATAATACCGTAGTGCAACTCGAGTTGTTTGGAAAAGCGGTAGGCCTCAGCATTCCTGACCCACCAGGGGTAGGGTATGTTCCTCATCATAGCCGAAATGGCTTCGGAATTCTGCCACTCATTGTACCCAGTGCGGCGGGCAGAACTTCCTCCTGCCAGAGACACCTGCCTCGCCCGTTTCTTAGGGAGGCGCCGAAGATAAAGGGGTGGCCCGGATACCCTCTTCCGGGTCAGCCCCAACTCTTTCCTCGTTCTAAGTGTTGGCACGGTCCCTCGGATCCCAAGCCTGACCAGGTCGTCGGGGTTGACGCGCTCTGCCTCTAACCATTGTCGGATTTTCGAAAGAGAAGTCGAAAAAGGGGGAGTGCTTTCAAAATTCAAGAAAAATCGAAGAGAAATCGAAGAAAATTACCTTAATCTGAAGCGGAATTCGCCGGTCTACCAGTTCGGAGCAACGAATTTCGGTTTCAAGTTCTTAATCTCGGGAATTTAGTGGAGTTTTGAAGCGGAATTAAGGGTTCTTGTTCGAGTGAGAGTGAGAATTGGTGAAGAAATGAGGAGAGAGAGGGTGCAGCGCCGTTTATATTCTCAGAAATTGGAATTCTAGGAGTTCGAGCTGTTAATATCTCTTTAATCACTCATTAAGTAACCGTTAAACACACTCCCCTCAATTAAACTGCCCATTATCCGTCCAACTTCCTTAATTATTATCCAAATTACAGTTATTTCATTAATGACTGTTTAAAAATTTAAATCTCTTTGATTCAATTAAATCATTTACTTCCCTCCATTTTTATTAAATCCAAACCCGACCCATCATCCTTCCAAATTGGGTCTGGGGGGCAAGTTGTTTGGGTCCAATTAAGCCTAATTGGGCCTGGTCCATAAATGATTTAATTCCAAGTCCAAGGTCAAGGCCCAAGCCTCCAATCATGCCAAGTCAAGCTCAAGTCAACGGCTCAGTCATCGTGGTTAGCTTATATGACTCTAAGCCCATTTCTCATCATTATGTTAAGGTATAAAAGCCTTCAATCACACCATTTATTACTCATTCACATATAGCCTCAAGCAATTAATACTCTTGCATAGCTTTCTCTCTCTATACATTGTTTGATTTCGGCATCGGAGGGGCCTTCCTCATCACAACCCCCGAGGCGAGTTTACGTGTGTTTGCTGTGCAGGAAACTCTCGGCCCAACATCACTTGGACCGAGTTCAGTCTTCAGCCACATCTCAGGACCTTCGGCAAGGTCCCATTGTTTTTTTCACCCGAAACAGGTTGTATTTTTTTTAATGAATATTATTTTTTATTTTAATGCACTATTTTAATCAATATTAGTCCTTTATACGAAGTATATTAATTTAAACATATATGGTCATTTAGATATCATAGTCGTTAAAACCATCTTAACTAAGTCTAATGTACACCTTTCAAAAATTTCATAATTTATACTTGTTTGACATGGTCTAAATAAGACAAAAAGGAAATAAGAAAACGAAAAGTAGAAAGAATATAGGAGTATAATATATGTATGCATTATTGTCAAAAACCATATTTGAAACTATATCACACCATCAATAATCAATTCAATACATTTATACATGCAATAAATGATGTGACGCACCACTTGTAAGAATTTGCATGAAAAACTTGTTACGTGTGTTAAGATATTACTGTAATATTTTTCATAATTTAAGAATCATAACTTTGTCATCGACAAATATATAAGCTATGTATGCCACAATACAACTTCATCATCCGATTATAAACGAAATAAAAAAAAAAAAAAAAAAAAACATGAAGGAAACACAGTTGAAAGTATTGATGCATCCATGGTTAGCCATGGGTCATTTTATTCCATATCTTCATCTTGCTAACAAATATGCCGAGAGAGGCCACATTGTCACTCTATTGCTCCCAAACAAGGCAAAAAATTTGTTACAATCTAAAAATTTACATCCATCCTTTATAACCTTACATACAATCACCATTCCCCATGTTCATCCACTCCCTCCGGGCACGGAAACCGCCTCGGATATTCCCTTCCACCTCCAAACCCACCTCGCCACTGCTTTAGACCTCACTCGAGTTGAGTTTGAGTCTATACTTGTTAGTTTTCAACCTAACCTCGTCGTTTACGACTTTACCTATTGGGTCCCAGAGGCAGTTGCTGCCTCTGGGTCCCAGGCCAAGTGTGTGGCCTACTCTATAGTTTCTGCTGTGGCCATGGCCTTTACTATGGTCCCATCTAGGGACCCACCAAAGGACAAGGCTGTGGTCGAGGAGGATGCCTGTGTTGCAAATGCACCACCAGGCTACCCTTCGTCCACAGTCATCATAGACCCAAGGACGATGATTCGTTCATTGCATGTACCATTTGGCGAGGGGGTGACCTTCTACGAGCGGATCACCACCTCGCTTAGGTGTAGCGACGCAATCGCTATCAAAACATGCCGAGAGATAGAAGGCAAGTATTGTGACTTCTTATCTAAGCAGTTCAATAAGCCAATCCTCCTCTCGGGCCTAGATCTTCCTAAGCCCAATGGGCCCAGTGAAACAATTCTAGAGGCCCATTGGACAGATTGGCTAAGCCAATTCTCACCAAGATCAGTAGTGTTTTGTGTTTTTGGAAGTCAAGTTATACTCGATGTGGCCCAATTTCAAGAGCTCCTACTCGGGTTTGAAATGACAAATTTACCCTTTTTAGTTGCGTTCAAGCCCCCCACGGGTTATGCAACCGTGGAGGAGGCATTCCCCGAGGGGTTTGGAAGGAGGGTAGGTGATCGAGGGGTGGTGACGGGCGAGTGGGTGCAACAGCCACAAATACTAGCACACCCATCGGTCGGATGCTTTGTGAGCCATTGTGGATCAGGGAGTATATGGGAATGTATGATGAGTAAAAATCAGATAGTGTTAATGCCGCAACTACACGAACAATTCTTATTTACAAAAATATTTACAACTGAGTTGAAAGTGGCTGTGGAAGTAGAACGAGGAGAGGATGGAATGTGGGTGTCAAGGGAGAGTTTGAGTAAAGCAATTAAATCTGTGATGGGTGAAAATAGTGAGATTAGTGGTTTGGTTAAGAAAAACCATGAAATTTGGAGACAAAAATTAGCTCAACCTGTATTAATGAGTGGTTACTTTGACAAATTTGTTAAGGATTTGCAAGTTCTCGTGAGTAATAATGTAGTCTGATATGAAAGTTGGTAGTTGTTCCTCATAGATTTGTCTCCTTTGCCATTGGGTTAGTGTCTTCAAGTTGAATTCGCAATCATTGTTTAGTACGTAATTTATTTATTTGTTTTGTACGTAATTTATTTATTTTCTAGTCTTCAAGCTCTCTAGCTAATTTTTATTTTGACAATGAAAAATAAAGATGGGGCAATTTATAATGGATGGCCGGAAGGAGCAAGAAACAACCAAGTCATTTGTTTTTTAGCAAGGAAATTAGTGTATCAATGTTTTTAATAAATTAAAATGTAAAAATATGTTTCATAAATGGTCAAATAGTATTTTAATATAGAGTGGAGGGAGTATATGTGAAGAATTTGAAGTTTATAAATTGCTAATTTCTTATGCTGCCAAGAGTCAAGACAATTATTATTATTGCGGACTGCGAAGTAATATGTTCAATTCCTACAAACGATACAAGTAATTCCCTTGAAAATGCTAAACAATGTCTTTGAAAGATATTTACCCAAGAGTAATGTTATGTTCATCCAAACATCATAAAAGAGATTGAGGTATAACTCAACTGGTTAGAGCTCCCCTCTCAATTTAAGAGATTTTGAAATAGCCCTGTCGCTCACTCAACCAAAAAAAAAAAAAAAAAAAAACCTTTCATAAAAGGCTAGACAAATATCCTCATGATATTTTCCAACAGATGCACCCCATGTAATCACTAGGCGTAATGTTAAAATTAATAATTACAATTAGGCAAACTTGTTAAAAAAAAAAAACCTTTTAAATGCCTCATTTTGCAAGAAAAAACTTTTTAAACGATTTTTGTTAAAAAAAAGAACCATCATGATCAATTTTTTTTGTCTACAGAAACCTCCCCCTCTTTTCCGGCATTGACTATAACTTTTCGGCGTTGACCTCTTAGTTTCCGGCATTTTAGTTTATTCATCAGAAACAAAAAAATCATATGTTACACGGGACTTCAAACTAGTTATAGCTATGTAAAATAGCTATATGTGTTGTTTAAAAAGATTATAAAAGAGTATCAATTAGTCCTAATAATTGAAACGAATTGAAGCCTGGTCAATCACTTGAACAAATACACAATACTCCCTTTGCTTTTTTTATTTTTTGGGTAACAATTTGACTTTTTCTAGTATATGTTAATTTGACGACTTTAACTTGTATCTTTAACTAATATAAATTTTTTTTATCATGATATTGCAGTATATTGTTGAATTTGTTACAATATTATATGATTGATAGTTAAATAAAATGTAAAGATATCAATGAAAAAAAATTAAGGGGAGTAATTGCTACAATATTTCCAAATCAAACACATTTTTAGTGCATATAATTCAAGTAAGACCCTATTTTGTTCAGTTCAGTTTAGCTTATCAATGAAAAAAAACAAGGGGAGTAATTGCTACAATAAGCTTCCAAATCAAACACATTTTTAGTGCATATAATTCGAGTAAGGCCCTGTTTTGTTCAGTTCAGTTTAGCTCCAATCAGTTCAGTTCAGTTCAGCTCTAATTAGTTTAGTTAAATTCAGTTTAGTTCAGCTCCAATCAGTTTAGTTCAGTTGAGATCACTTCAGTTTCTAATTTCCTTCTCTCATAAACAATTCATTTAACCTTTATTCAGTTTAGTTATTTTCAATAAATCGGAACAAATCCTAATTATGATAACTATGGAGGACCTACATTATCACTTTTAACAGTAAAAGAATGAAAGGTCGATAAACGCTAACCTGTAATGAGTACGGAGTAATTTATTCATCAGAAACAAAAGAATGTCCTTGGTGATATATTTGCTCGGATACACCCCCAGTCCTTAGGATGGAGTTACCTAAAAAGCCATACCACAACACAAAATAACCATCTATCCAGTTAAAAGAAAAGAAAATAAAATAAAATGGGAGGAAAGCAATTGAAGGTATTGATGTATCCATGGTTAGCAATGGGTCATATAATTCCATATCTTCACCTTGCTAACAAACTTGCCGAAAAAGGTCACATTGTCACTCTTTTGATACCAAACAAGGCCAAACAATTGTTACAATCTAAAAACTTCATCCTTTATAACATTACATACAATCACCATCCCTCAAGTTCATCCACTCCCTCCGGGTACGGAAACCTGCTCGGATATTCCTTTCCACCTCCAAACCCACCTCGCCACCGCACTAGACCTCACTCGGGTTGAGTTTGAGTCTATTTTTGTTAGACTTCAACCCGACCTTGTCTTTTACGACTTCACCTATTGGGTCCCTGAGGCAGTGGTTGCCTCTGGGTCCCAAGCCAAGTGTGTGGCTTACTATATAGTGTCTACAGCGGCCTTGGCTTTTAGTATGGTCCTATCTCGGGACCCACAAAAGGACAGGGCCGCAGTAGAGGAGGATGCGTGTGTTGCTTGTGCTCCACCGGGCTACCCTTCGTCAACTGTTATCCTTACAGACCCAAAAAGGATGCTTGGCTTGTACATGCCATTCGGCGAGGGGGTGACCTTCTACGAGCGGATCACCACGTCGCTCAAGAGTAGCGACGTCATTGCCATCAAGACATGTCGAGAGATAGAAGACAAGTATTGTGACTACTTGTCTAAGCAGTATGACAACAAGCCAATCCTCCTCTCGGGCTTAGACCTTCCCGAACCCCAAGAGGCAGAGCTAGAAACACGTTGGGAAAATTGGCTAAGACAATTTAAGCCAGGAACAGTTGTTTTTTGTGTCTTTGGAAGTCAAGTTGTACTCGACGTGGACCAATTTCAAGAACTCTTACTCGGGTTTGAAATGACAAAATTACCCTTCTTGGTAGCATTCAAGCCCCCCACGGGTTGCTCAACCGTGGAGGAGGCATTCCCTGAGGGGTTTACAGATAGGATCTGTGATCGAGGGGTGGTAACAGGAGAGTGGGTGCAACAACAACAAATACTCGAACACCCATCAGTCGGATGCTTCGTTAGCCATTGTGGCTCAGGGAGTATATGGGAGGCAATATTGAGTAAAAATCAGACAGTGTTGATACCACAACTACGAGATCAAGTGTTGTTCTCAAAAATATTTACGACCGAATTGAAAGTGGCTGTGGAAGTAGTACGAGGAGAGGATGGAATGTGGGTGTCAAAGGAGAGTTTGAGTAAAGCAATTAAATCTGTTATGGATGAAAATAGTGAGATTAGTGGTTTGGTTAAGAAAAACCATGATATTTTGAGACAAAAATTAGCTCAACCTGGATTAATGAGTGGTTACTTTGACAAATTTGTCAAGGATTTGCAAGCACTCGTTAGTAACAATGTGTGATATTGTTTAGTGTCTCCTTTACCATTTGTTTTTTTGTCTTCCGGTTGAATTCGTTGATATGTACGTAATAAATTATGTGTCCTGTACTACATTGTTATGTTTCCTTTTTATCAAAGGGTTAAGGTTATTTAAATTATTAGGTTGAATTGGAGTTGCTCTAATAACCTAATATCTGATATTTATAATTTAATATTTGACTATTATTATCTTATTTCTGATAAATTTTTTTTTTCTATTTGTATGACCAAACTCACATGAGTCCGTTCCATACAATATTTTACGATACTCTAAATAGAGATGTGAGCAGTTCTTGAGTTGATTCCAATCCTTCATTTGGGGTACATATTTGAAGGCTCGTTGTGATACCTTCGGGGAGCATTCGTCATTGAGAACCTTGTACCGCTGGTGTCGAAATACACTTCTAGGGCACCCATAAAACACGTCACAACGTAATGAGATTTACATTCAAAGTAACATCTTTCCTTGTTCTTGTTATTATTTGTTTGATTGCAACAGTATATTTCCTACAGTTGTTTGAAATATGGCTAATATAATGTTTTAATGATTATGAAGTTTATCATAATTGACATATTTTCATCAAATAATAAATTAGATTACTTTATTTTTGGTATAAAATACTATTATCAACATTTTTTATCAAAATTTTAATTTAATTTAAGTAATTTTTATTCTTATTTTATATAGTTTCTTGAAAAATATTTATTTTATGTTGGATTAAATTTCAAAATATATATTTAATTAGAATACTAATAATGTCCTTATTATAATGTGAGAAAATAAAATGATCATATTGTTTAGTATTAAAATAATATATATGATAGTCATATTTCAAACAACTGTTGTAAACATTGGCTCCACACACACACTTACATAAATTATTGGACTTTTTGTGAATAACTACCTCATACAAGTCAATTTTTTGTGAAAAAAGTACCTTATAAAAAAAAACGTTGTATGAAACTACCTTATAAAACAATTAATGTTGTAAATAGCTACTTCTTACGGAATATTGCATTGAATAAAAGACGTTAAATGACCCATTTTCAGTCATTTTTTTCTCCCTTTTCCACCCAATTTCTCCATAAGCCACCTTATAACTCCTAATTCCCCTTCTCTTTCATAGTTAAATTAAGCACATGGTACCAACTTACAACATTTAACTTTTATAAGATAGTTTTTTACAGCAATCTTTTTTTACAAGGTAGTTTTTTCACAAAATTTAATGTATATAAGGTACTTTTTCACAAAAAAAGTCCTAAATATATTTCACTACACCGTGGTAGAATTGAGATTTTATGTAAATTTGAATATACGGGGTTTGTTCGGTTGATCATAATTAGTGAAAATGTAGAATGTGCAAATTCATTGGAATTTTCAATACCCGGCCACAAAATATGGGATTTAATTGGATCTTTTAATTTACTGAATTCGCTAGTTGATCAAAACTATTTACCAAAACTACTTTCATTTCAAATTGTAATTCCAAACTAGCCAAATATTACATATAATGTTAATTCACGGTTGCTAAATACAACCTTTATCTACTTAACACACTCTCGTAAAAAACCAAATATACCCTCCCTTCATTCCTTCCTTCCTCATTCTTTAACTATCACCCTTTCAATTCATATTTATCCAATATTCCAGTTCACTTAGCGTCATTCAAATCAATACCATAATCCCATTTCCCATTTCCCATTTCATTTTGGGTTGTCACTTTTAAAGTCAACCAATCAAACAATGAAAGTTAATTCCTCTAAATTCATTTTAACATTTTCTTCTTAAATTCAAAAGATATGAAATTTTGTAGAAGTGCAAGTTAAATTTAAATTTGTGTATTTTCATCCTGTTTTCCAGAATTTTTGATATCATTGTTGAATAACAAGGGCTGCATTTTTCGTGTAAGGGTGGTAGCATGGATAAAACATATTGAAAAATGAGAAATAAAGAGTATGTAATCTTATATTTGGATTTTTTTTTGCTACAGTGAAAAAGTCAAATTGGGATACGAATAATCTGGATAATATAGACTAAATTTTTTGTGCAGCTGGGCTAAAATTGAGACTATGTATGCAATGCACAAGGATTTTGTTCAATTTGTGTGAAATAGAGCATAGAATTTTGTTTAATATGTGTGAAATACGGTATTCTATTTTGTTCAATATGTGTGAAATAGAGTACACTATTTTGTTTAATATCCATGATATTGATACTCTGATTTTGTTCAATGTAACTGAAAAGGTTCTATCTTGTTCACTCATTTTACATGAAATATACTCCGAAAAAAATGAAAACTTAATCAATTTTGAGGTCCTTCGAGTCGGTTTCCGCATATTGCCCGGGCAAATGCGCCCTCTCGAGGCTGGAGTACTTCCCTAATAATTAAAGGAAGGGTGCACTGCATTATTGATAGATCTAACAATAATCATTCATTGCAATTCTGGCCAATGAGTATTTTAAATTTTACTCCATATGTAGTACGTATGTTGCAAAAGTTATAACTTTTATTGTATTAAGATTTTATATTTAGGTAAGAGAAAGGGAATTTAATTTTATGAGGGTTGAGAAATAAGGGGAAAAAGGGGTACGTTAAGTAAACCTAGGCTGCGTTTAGTAACCATTAAATGAAGTTATTTAGTTGGGAGGTAGAATGATAATATATATATATATATATATATATATAGGATCATATGAGACCACCCCCCTTATGTGAGAACCCTATTTTATGTGAGGACATATTACAACCGTTGGATCAACTACATCCAAGGGTCATAATACAACCCGGTAAAACAAACAAAACTAAACAAATTTATTTCAAAATTTATTTCCTACGTTTTTTTCTCTCTCCTCCTTCTTCTTTTTCGCTCATTTTTCTCTCTCCTCCTTCAATTCTACGGTGTTCATACTCTGCTGCTCTCTGATTTTTCATCAAAACTTCTTCAATCTTCATCAATTTTTGTTAATGTAAGTCTATTGTTTATACATTTGCTGTTTTTTCGATTAATTTTAGGTTACATTCATTGTTTTATTTTCGTTTTGATGTTCGTTTAATTTTTTTCTGATTTTAGCTCATTAATTTAACATGCAATGTGTCGATTATGTTTTATTTTGTTATTTTTTGTTGATTTTAGCTTTATTTTCGTTTTCTTGAGTGATTATCCAGTAAATTTTAGTTTTATTTTGCCTGAATTTTGGTTTTACTAAGTGTTCTTGTTTTGGTTTTGTATTTGCGATATTATGTTGTTTTGTTGCGATTTTTGTTTGATTTTGTTGCGATTTTTGATTGATTTTCATTTTGCTTTTCGTTTCTCATCTCTGATTTTAAGTTAATTTTCGTTTACTTTGTTCTGATTTTTTATTGATTTTGTTGCGATTTTTTTGATTGATTTTCGTTTTATGTAATTTCTCAAAAATTTGTAAAATGCTGTTTGTCTAGTATCGGAAACAACAATTTGTAAAATTGATAAATAAATGGTGATAGTACAGTAAGATGCTATCAAAACCAAAAAAATCTATTTATTTCTAATAGAAACATAGCAGTAAAGCGCTAATCCTGAAGGTGTAACTGCATTCTGATGTAGCCCATATTGTTTTGGTAATTCTCTAGTATTGTATAAAAGTAATAGCTCCTCTGCTTCTTGTCCAACATTAACTCAAGGCTGGAAATTAGGTAATGTTATCTTTCGATATTCTTTTTGTGATCTACATTGTTAAACTGTCTGGGTTTTGGATGATATTTGAAAAGGTCTGGAGGAAGGCAGCTAAGTCAGCCCCGTAGATGATTGCTCAAAAATTTTGCTTGTCACTTAAAGAGCATCTATGTTTGATTGCTCATTTGACAAATGAGAATCTATGTTTTTGCTCATTTGACAAATGAGTATCTATGATTTTGCTCATTTGTATAAAATTACCAACTAATTATTTACTTTTTTTTTTTAATTGTTTTTGCTCATTTGGGAGTGTTGAATGTGTTATATTATCTAACCAGTAAAGTCGATGGTTCCGAGTCTTTTGTAAGGTCCTCCATGATGTGTAATTGCACCTTTATGTCATGTAGTCTACCTAACTTGCTGAATTTTGTTTAATCTCCTGACCTTACTGAGCTTTTCTAGAGCGCTCTATCACTATTCACTAGTTGTTACACTACCTTTCCATCATATTCCTTTCGGGAAAGGACTTCTGGGGCAATATAGGCCAGTGTTCCTACCGTCGATTTTGGTTGAGAATGTAGCACTGCAGACTATTATAATTAACAAAGATTAGTCATGATTCTGTTAAGGCTGTTGTGTCTGTCTGCGAGGCTGTTGGTGTCTGTCAGTGTGGCAGGTTCTGTGCAGCTCTTGTCTTATATGTAGTGATGCAGGGTTTTAATGCAAGGGTGAGCCTGATAATGAAGTAATGCTATTTCAACTTGAAATGCTAAAAACTCATAGCAAAATTCATGGCGATATCATTAATGCATGGTCTACTGTTCTGAATTTTAATGAGCAATATAAAGATGTCAATTCTTGTGGACATTTCTTTTTTGGTCTTAATGCTGTTGTAAGTTCAACTCGTTCATTTTATTTTGTTTTATTTTGTTCATGTTCACTTTTCTCATTTCATATAATTTTTTTTATATTTGAATGTAGATGTTTTTTTGTATTTGCAAAAACTATTATTAGTTCTTTGCTCATTTGTCAAATGAGCAAACTATTCAATGCTCATTTGTCAAATATTCTTGCTCATTTGTCAAATGAGCAAAAATTAAATACTGAACTAATTCAAGTCTCTTATTGGATACTAAATAACATAAAATCTTTTGATAAAATATTTGAAATACAGAACTAATAATAATATAAATTCTGACTTCCTTGGTCTGAATCAATGTATAATCAGTGTTTATGAGTTTTATTATGGTCTAATTTTGGTCCTGCACAATTCGGACTCTTATTTATGACCTGTATTTTGGTCTGAATCAGTGACGAGTGAGAATTCACAGACATGCTGCATCTATAATTCTATATGGTCTTTAACCAAAGGACTTAATTCTTTATGTTTATGATGCTATCTGACAACTAACATTCTGTATGTTCTGTAATTACATAAATAATTGAATGATAGCTGCAATTAATTCTTTGCTCATTTGCCAAATGAGCAGTTAATTATTTGCTCATTTGTCAAATGAGCAAAACATTCACTTGCTCATTTGTAAAAATAAATTCAATTTACTCATTTTATGACTTTTCTCATTTCAAATTCACTTTACTCATTTCTTATTTACTCTTTTCATTTATGTTCATCTTATTTATGTATTTTTACTTATTTATTTTTGTAGGATTGCCTTTTTCAATACGAAAGTGATCGTGCTCAAGAAAGGAATAAAATGTTTTGTGAGGTTATGGAGTTGGAATTCAGCAAAACAATCATCCCAAAGAAAGATATTGAGCTTTTCTTTTTCCCGGTATTTGAAAAGGATCATTATTATCTGGTATGTTTTAACACCACCACAGACTGTGGTACAATTGAGGTTATTGATTACAGTGAAGGTCCTAGAGAAAATATGAAATTGCTTAAAAATCTGGTATGTCTTCTGCCACTTCTTCTTCATCATTAATATCCTCATTGATGCCTGCCATGTTGTTACCAGATTCTTTATTCATGTCTCCTCTCATTATATCACTGGTACCTTAACCCTTTCAGAGGATTCTCCTCTGAATTTCTTCTTTCTCCCATAACAATAAAATACACACACACACACTCACGCCAGAGACACACACACACACACACAGGCACACACACACACACACACGCATACACACACACACATACACACACGCACACATACACACACACACACACACACAAGCAAAGTCTTAAATAGCTTCCTGTTAGTCTCTGTCTCTGACCTCACTTTGAATCTATTCATGGTCAGCTTGATTCTTTCGGGATATATGACATGTAAAACTTTTCTAGCGAATACTTGCAAAACTCTGTGATTTATTTTTCTACATAATGTGCATCTCTGCATTTGAACAATGTGTTTGAGAGTTTCTGATTGTATACAGGCACACACACACACATACACAGGCACACACAAACACACACACACACACACACACAAATACACACACACGCATACACACACATACACACACACACACATACACACACACACACACACACACACACACACACAAGCACACATACAACCTGTAATATAATCTGAAATCAGATTCTGAAATTAGTTTTTGGAATCAGAATTGTGTAATGTTTGGGTAGGTTTGTGTGGGTAGGTGGCAGTAATGGCTCAAGATTTTGTTAGATTATTTTAGAAAAATGATTTGAGTTTAGTTGTTTATCTTGATCTTGTTCTGCTTGTTCTAACTATATTTGTTCCACCTGTTTTTGTTCTTATTTTAACTTATTTGTTCATTTTCAGAAAAGTGCATTTTCATATTTCATGAATGGTGAAGGAAGTATACAAAGTGTTGTTTTGTCAAAACAAATCAAGTCTATGGAGTCTGTTGTGGTTGATTTACCTTGGAAGTCTTCAGATGATTATCATTTGCATTGCGGTGTTGCAATGATGAGGCATATGGAAACATATATGGGTTTGCAAAAGTGGAATTCAGGTTTAAAGAAAAATAATGTAAGTCTAACCAGAAAAAGTTTAATTGCAATTTTTATAATTTGATTCTTCTGGAATGAGAAATCTGCACTTTTTAGATTAAAATTTGTGAGCAGCTTGTTGATATACATTCATGAAGCCATTACTTACCCTATACTTACTCTGAATTATTGCTTCATTTTTTCTCTTTGCAGGACATAATCATTGACAAACTTCGTTTGAAGTATACCCTCTCAATTATTTCAAGTGAAGTAAATACTGTTAAACCTGTTAAACAAGTTGTCCAAAAGAAAAAAAAGGTTGAGGAAGCAAGTGATGCTGAAGAAAGCTAGGGGCAGCAATCCAAGAGCAATTAACGGAGAGAATTGAAGACTGAAGTTGATCAATTGTTCTTAGGATTTGTATAGTTTTTGTACAGAACAATAGAAGTGTTAGTTTTATGATGTTCTTAATAGGACAAATGTGATAAATGTTCTTAGTTGATCTAATGTTTTTATGATGTTGTTAGGATTTTCTAAGTATAAATTTTGCTATGTCAATGTAATGGATATGATTTTCTATCTTATTGACTAAGTTGTTTGTCATTTGTTAAATTCCTGATTAACTATTTGAGAAACTGACTATTTGCTCATTTGCTAAATGAGCAAATAAATGTTTTCTTATTTTTTAAATAAGTAACTAATTATTTGCTCATTTAAAAAATGAGGAAACTAATGCTTACTCATTTCACAAATGAGCAAAGAAATGGTTGTTGATTTAATGTATTATTAAAAGGAATGTTTACTCATTTGACAAATGAGTATTAACTATTTGCTCATTTGACAAATGAGTATTAACTATTTTCTCATTTGCCAAATGATCAAATAAATAATGCTAAATCTTATATTTATATAAAAATATTAACTTTTATATTTGTATAAAAGTATCATTATACAAATATCAGCAAATATCTAGTTAATTTAGCCTCTATGATTTTGAAGATTAGGGTATGTTCTCTTTATTGAACTCATTGTATAATATCTTGGATTGGACTATTTCTGTTACCAAGGACATTACAATAGCTTTGGTATAATTACATATGTGTGTATGATAGATAAACAGAGCTTGCAAAATATTTGCTCATTTCAACAAAATTTAAAACACAAAATGCTAAATCATATATTTATATAAAAATATTAACTTTTATATTTGTATAAAAGTATCATTATACTTTGTTTGGACAATTTCTAATATCATGATGACTCAATTCACCACAACCTCTACATAATCTCTTCTTTTTCTGGTTTTGTTCTACAGCCTTTTCTTTTTCTCCCTTTAGCCTTTTTGCACTTCTACCTCTTGTTTCAACATTTGGCACATCAATCTCAGCCCCTTTCTCTTTTGAAGTCTCTACATTTGATACATGAATTCCAGTCCCTTTATTCTTTGAAATTTTTGGAGGTTTGACAATTATTTCAGTTGGCACACTAGCTCCAATCAATAGCTCAATGTCTTGTCCTTTGTTGTTTGCACTTCCTGTTGTTTCATTATTCCTTGCAATCCTCTTAGCCTCCAAATCCTTTCTTATTCCTTGAAGATTTATCACAAGATCTTGAATATCTTCATCATTGCCTTCTGCCAAACTTACACAAGTGTGTATCTCTGACCATAAATCATTTAACAATTTTTTCTTGTCAATTAAATTAGGACATTGCTCCAACAGGTTTCCACCCAAGTCAAAAATTGGTTTTTTCAGTGCCATAGTAGTCCATCTGTGTAGCATATAATGCTCAGGAATGTTTTCAAACCTTTTTGCTTTCCAAACCCAAATCATATGTCTACATGGAATTCATTGTCTATAAAACAACTTGCAAGAACATGTGGTGTCAAAGTTAGTTGGATTAAACACAACATCAAATGTTCTAATCCGATTTCCTTCACTTACTTTTGCAACTTCCAATCCATTTTCTTTCTTCAATTCATCAACACCACATGAAAAACAAGCAATTTCAAACTCATATTGAAATTCATAAAAGACAGAGTTAGTATATAATTGTGAGGCATGCTTTTCTATCCCTAGTGGTGTTTTGCACTCAGGATATTTGTGCTTTGAATCATTATCATTCTGACCTTCAGTGTGTCTCTGGGCATCAATTGCAGCTTCATATCTCAAGTAAAACTCAACAAGTGACACATGAGGATTGATAAAGGAGCAAAAAAGTTGTTTTCGCTTTCGGATCTTGATGTTGTACGCATTATTCCTCTAAGGAACACATCTCTGAAATACGCCGGAATCCACTTGTTCCTTATCTTGTACATATAACCTAACCACTCATGTTCTTCCAAGTGGTATTCAACCATCACCTTGTTCCACCTTTCTTCAAACTCAGCAGGTTCAATTTCAAGATGCCAAACACAAGCACATAATTTTTTTAGGAAATCAGTTTCTTCTTGCATGATTGATTTCTCCACCTTATCTGGTAACTTTTTCATTATGTGCCACATACAGAAGCGATGTTCAGTCTTGTTAAACACACTTTTAACAGCAATTTTCATTGCTGGATCTTGGTCTGTAATCATACAATTCGGTTCATTTCCACCCATTGCCTTGAGAAATGATCTGAACAACCACTCAAATGACACTATATCTTCCTTTGCTATGAAACCAGCAGCAAAAGTAATGCAGCTCTTATGATGGTCAACCCCTGTAAATGGAGTAAACACCATGTTGTACCTGTTTACACATACAGATTAAATTTTAAATGATCAAATAACTACCCACACACATAAATACACAGACACACGTACTTAGACACAAACACACACACGCACACACACATATACACATACATACACGCACTCACAATCTGTGATAGAATCTGAATTCAGATTATGAAATCAGAATTGTCATCAGCTACTGAAATAATTCAATGCTCATTTGACAAATGGGCAAATAATTGATTGTTCATTTGTCAAATGAGCTTATAACTCAATGCTAATTTGTGAAATAAGCAAACAATTGTTTGCTTTTTTGTCAAATGAGAAAATAATTGAATGCACATTTCTGAAATGAGCAAATAAGTCAATGCTCATTTGTGAAATAAACAAACAGTTATACTAAGTTCATTTAAAACAAAGTTATTAATTTTAGCTATAGTTATAACATAAAAATGATTTGTGATTTTTATGAACTACCTATTGGTTTGGTATGTGGTATCAAAGGATACCATATCATCAAATAGAGCGTAACTCTTTTTACAAAGGGGATCAGCCCATAATGCTCTACAAAGGCAATAATCATCATCCATCTCAAAATCAAAGAAAAAAGCGCTCCACATTAACTTTTTGTTGGTAAAGTTATCCACGAACATTTGAGCATCACTTCCTTGAATGTATGCTTTCAAATCTCTATGAAAATTTTTGAAATCTTGCTTAGATGCACTGATGTTATCATATCCTCCAACAATTTCCTTCATCATTCGAAAAGTTGTAACAGGACCAATATTCACCTATTTAAAGAACAAAACAGTTTGTCAAATGAGAAAATAATTTAATGCTCATTTTTCAAATGAGCATACTACTTTTATTAGAACATACAGAGAATTCATGAAACATAAGAGGCTTTGAAAGTCGTACCTTAGAATTATTCACAATTATTTTTTTGTGCAATATGTTCATTTTTCTTCCTTCTTTTTGGAAGAGATTGCAACTAAGTGTATAAAGTGGATGAGTATGTCCCTCATGAAATTGTGACACTATGAATTTGTTATCATCACAATGCTTTATGATAATATGTGCCTTGCACCCAACACGAGTAACGAGTCTCTTCCTTTTGATTGAAGTTTTTTCTTCATTGCTTTCTCCTTCGTTGTTATTTAAATCTTTTTCAACAGTAGGCTTTCTTTTCTCTTTGTATCCTTCTTTATTGCATAAGATATACTGTGATTTCAATTCTTTGCTTCTTCTTTGCCTTTTAGTTGTAGATTTTCTTGTGTTGAATCCAGCAGCAAATGCGTATCTTTTATAAAATTCAAGGCCCTCTTCAAGATTATTAAACTTCATCCCTATAGCTGGTTTCAACTCATTGGGGCATATTGGAAGCCATTCTTTTGTTCCTCCAGGAGTGAGCAAAGGTGCTACTTTAGGAGAAACTACTATTGTAGGAGTAGTTGCCACATTTGTGATGGTACTAGAATGACTGTCAAGTTCTTCATTGTTGCTCATCATTTCTGAAATCAGATTCAGAATTCAGAATTGCAAACAGAAAGATGAGGGGGGGGGGGAATAGGTTTGTATAAGTAAGTGTAAGAAGGGAATGTGGTTGGTGTGCAGGAAATAGACCAAGAAGAAGGGGGGTGGGGCTTGTGTGCAGGCAAGAAAACCAAGGAACTCAATGATTTGATATCAGAAATGATGATTTGAAAAGGAGTAAAACTTGATAATGCTACCCTTCAATATGTTTTGCAAAACCTAGCATATATAGCATTCAGTATAGCATAGTATAGCATATTTGCCAGCAAAAACCATACATTCTTAGACACACACACACACTATAACACATGCACTCTTACACTCACTTACACACACACACACACATACACACAGTAATTTCAGATTATCACAGCACACAGAAGTGCTCAATCTAAGAAGCACAACCACTTGCTCATTTGATAAATGAGCAACTAAATATTTGCTCATTAGCTACAGCTACCTCTTTCACTTTCACTGCTTCTGCAACTCATGTTAATGAGCTGAATCCCATTTCTCACCCTCTTTCTAACACTGTACAATTACCACCACCACCAAACTCTCTCTCCTTCCTCTGCCCCTGTCCCTGTACCTTACCACCACCAATATCACCACCACAACCTGTCGCACTCTCACTCCCTCGCCGCCACCCCTGTCCCCTGCACCCTACCACCACCATAATTACCAACTTATTTTGCTCATTTGCTCCTTTTTATATTTGCTCAATTTAATTATGTTTGCTCATTATATGTTTTTTATATTATTACAAATATTTAGGTTTGCTCATTTTCAATTCATTTGCTCATTTTAAATTTGATTGCAAATTTTCAATTTCTATCAAATTAATCAAACCGAAATTTTTGATTTAATTCAAAATATTTCAAAGAAGTAAATTCAATCAAATCCACAATTGATGCAATTAAACAAGCAATTCAATGAGAACAGAACAAACCTCAAAAATCGAAAATTCTCATGCAATTAACATGCAATTCAATAACCTGGTGATTGATGCAATTAAATATGCAAATTAATAAGAATAGAACAAACTAAAAAATCAAAA